TTTTTAGATGCTGTGTCTCTATACTATTTCTATGTATTTTATCTTTCTGCTTCTTTTTTCTTATGACTCTTTCGTGGATTTTCTATATCGTTTTGGTGTTATCGTTGATTGTGTATTTTTTCAAATTTGTACAAAAGGATCAGTGAGTTATTAAATTTTTATTTTATCTTAATTAATAAATATATTATTAAATTTAAATTTTTTACTATATTTTAAAATTAATAATTTATTTTTCTACATTTAATTTATTTTTAATTCTATTTCACATTTACTTTATTCTTTTTTTTTTAATTCTATTAGCTTCAAAATCAATTTTTAATATATATAATGAATTTTTATTAACTTTAAAATCAATTTCTAGTATACAGTATATGATAGATTAAATAACAAACTAATCTTATATATATATATAATTACTAACACTCAAATTTAGATAAGTCTTAACCACTTCTATTGGTTTAAGTTACAGATAAATTAGTTTGAGTTTCTATTCTTTTTATAATATTTTTAAAATAATATATACTTTATATAAAAATTTTAATTAAATATTCAATAAAGATAGAAATATGCTCTTATTATTTATATTAAAAAAATAGTAAAGCTATAGTTAATACATAATAAAAATTTAGATATATTTATTTGTAATTTAAACCTATTAGAATAATTAAAACTTATTTATATTTGTATAATTAAAATATAATTAAAAAAGATATTGTATTTGATTTAAAAAATAATCTATATATTAATTTTTTAATAATATAATTATAAAAACTAAAATTAAAAAATTAACTTTTTAGATTAGTTTTGTTAATCTTAAGCAGACTGCAAGTTTTTTGAAATTAGATTTTTTTTGTGAGCTACTAATTAAAGTTATTTTAACAAAATTTTAATATTACTTATTTATTAAAAAATAATAGTAAAACTTCTTAAAAATTTAAAAATTTTCAAAATGTAAAGGTTTGAACTAGTCTTAGAACCAATTTAGAATTGATAAAATTTTACTTATTAAAATGGATCTGTCATTAGAGGCCTGCATTGGGTCCCGTGGCCTGACCTGGCCCAGCCTGCAAAAATTTGTGGGCCGGACCGGGCCTGAAGCAAAATTTTATAATTGCGGGCCAGGCCGAAAAATTTGCAAAACTTTATAATTGCGGGCCAGTGTGGGCCTAAAATTTTGTAAAATTATATAAGAAATTTTTGCGGGCCGGGCCGGGCCAGCAAAAAATGTTAGCTCTAAATGCAGGTCGGGCCGGGCCGGGCCTCAAAAATAGGCAATTTGCAGGCCCCTATCTGTTATATTATTTCTCAATAGGTAAATACTATTAACTTTTGTTTTGAATAAGTTTAATTAGTTGCTTATAAAAAATGATGATTTCAAAAGCTTGTAGTCGGCTTAGAACTAACAGAACCAATTTGAGATTAATCTATTACTAATCAAAACAGACATTCGGTTTACCAAAAAATAGTTTGAAATTCAAAAACAACATAGAATTTCCTTGCATAATTTTATTCTATCTTTCTAACACCTAACTTAAACGAGCTTGAAGATGATTTGGGTACACCGCAATTACGGTCACGTGCCAGTACTTTTGAAATATCAGATGACCAGCATTAAATGATCAGCAGTAATTTGTCTAAATTATAACGTAATTTTTTTAAACCCCTGATTCTAACTCAGGCCGGGCGTAATCTGTCGCAAGAATGTATCCGAGACACAACATATACACTATGATTGATTGATGTAACGAACTTGTTGATTGGCAAGTTTAATTTAAAGTTAAACAAAGTTTATAATTTCAAACGGCCTAAAGGTCGAATTATGAAAATCAGTTCCAACCTATAATTTAAAAGAGTTTAATTAATTAATTAAAATTACATTTTTTATAAAATGCACCTATGGTGGTTTGGCACTTATCATATATGTTTTTTTTTTTTTATGTTTTACGTATAGATTTTTCTAATTTTTTTTTACATATAAAAAAATTTCAAATTATGATTAATAATTAGAGTTAAAATTAACATTAAGGTTTGGGAAGCGTAGAACCCCTCGTACCCAGTGTTAAAAATTCTGCACAAATATGCTGTGCAAAAAAAAAATTTTTTTATACATGTGTATTGTTCTATTTTTTTGTGCAATTTGCACAGTCTATTGTTAATTTTGTGCAAATAACAATACGTGCACAATGAATTTTCAACACTACTCGTATCGATTAATTGGTCAGTTTTCGAGATACGTTTTAATAAAAATCTTAAACTATAATTTCAAAATAATAAATAAATAAATTATATATATATACTATATATAATAAAACGTAATAAGGTAATTAATTAATTAATTTGAAATATTTTTTTTTTAATCCATAAATAAGAACTTCTATATTACTATAGATAGTTAATAAATTTTTTTTCTAATTTTCCTGATCGTTACGACAATTATTGGAATTACGGTATTGGTTTAATTTTCTGTCGATCACCACGTTTTAAAATTTAGATTCATTGGAGATGCATGAATGAGGCGTATTCATTCATTCATTCATTCAAAGATAATTCAAGATGCATAAAATCTTACCGATATTTCATGAGGCGTTCATCCATCCATTCATCCATTACATTCATTTATTCATTCAGTCATTAATTAAAGATGCATGAATTTATTACTTTACGTATAAAATTATTTACATTAATAACGATAACTTTATTAAGAAATTTTATATTAAGAAACTTTATAAAGAAACTCCATACGTAAAGGGGAGATTCCCGGATAAGAAAATAAAGGATGTGAAGAATAGTTGTCACATTTTTAATTATTAACAGTTAATGTTTATTTTACGATCGTGGTTTTTTTTATATATAATACTTTTTACTCAATAAAAACAAGAACTAACTTGTATCTTTAGTTGATTGCTTTGCCGAAACAGCCATTAACATCGGGAAAGAAGATTATACCTAAAATAAATAAGAGATTAACTAAAAGGCTTTTGTGATGATCAATATGAATAATAGACAGATGAGAATGTTCTTAATGACATATTAAGAAGCAATGATCAAAAAAAGCCACTTAGATAAAATTCGTGTAAATTATATGAAACATATTTTTATTAAAGGATATAAACAAAAAAAAATGATTCGTTACAATGGAAAATTGGAATCAGGATTTATAAAAAAATATTATTCGGATTTATTATTTGAATGCAAATGAAGGTTTATAACTTTTCAAGATCATTAATGATTGGTATTAATAATTAATTTTTTAATTTATCAATAATTAAGACGGAATTTCCTTTCATTATGATTTTCATTTATTGTTATACATTAACGACATTTTACATTAAAAGATTGATCGAAATAGGATATCGTTATACGAATTCGGATCTATTGTTATTTACGGAGGGATGTATTGTTCATTGCATACCGAGACTAAATATACCGGATAAAGATATGATTTTATGCATGTAATACTTAATTAGAACTTTCGGGTAAACAAATACCGATATAGATTATTTTTATGAAAAAAAATGTACGTATGCATGTACGTACATACGGGTATTTACGAATGCATTTACTAATTGATATTCCTTCAAGTTAACCGATTGGATTATCAAGTTAAATGAATATATATTGATTCTGTAAACTTTAGAAGCAAATTAATATGATTAATATTGGTAACAATAAATTCCAAGAAAATTAACATTAAAAAAATTTTTATTGGTACAATAAATTATAAGATAAGAAAATCAAGATTAAAAAACCATAGACATCGATAATGTTTAAAAGTCATTTAAAATTGTATACGTAAAAAAAAACAAATTAAATTTATTGATACATGATCAAGTGTAAAGTTTATTTTTATACAATAAATAAAACAAATTTAGAAAAATCTAAACATAAAGTACATTAAACACAAAGTACATTAAACACAAAGTACATTAAACACAAGTACATTAAACACAAGTACATTAAACACAAAGTACATTAAACACAAAAGTACATTAAAAGAGAAATATATACGTATTTTTTTTTAATAATATAATTACAATTATATTAAATATATTAATTTAATAAAATAAGGAACCGAATAATACAACAACAATAAAACTTAAAGACAAAAGATCGTTATTAAGTATTTTTGTAGCACCAGATGTTGGAGTTGTACTGGTTACGGCATGCTGAGTTGGAGAACCTCTGATTTGACTTGTGTCAGTTGTAGGGGTTGGAGCAGAAGCGCGTGTAGTTGGAGTTGCTACAGCTGTAGGCGTGACTACACTCTCAACATAAGGATAAGGATCGTTGATACATTGACTAACAGGTTTTATAGTATAATTAGCTTTCTTAAGAATTGGCACGACAATAGGAATTTGAGCAGCGGTTTGATTATATAAATCGTGTTCAAGGGAGATATGACCAGTAGCGGTGAGGGTGGGATCGGCAACCCATTGAGTAAAGTTAGCAGCGATCCAGTTCAAGTTGAAAGTTGGATCTTCAGCCGACATCCAGTCGTTTGTATCTAAATCCCAAATAGTTGGTTTCATACCAAGTTGAGTTGAAATATCACGAATTCGATCATCGTAATCCCCATATGGTGGACGCATATATTTAGGAGTAGCATTAATAGCAGCTTTTATAGCATCACGAGTATACATAAGTTCAGCAATAACTACTTCGGTGGTTTGGGTGGTTAATTGATTATGTGACCAAGTATGTACACCGATTTGATGACCTATTTATTTTTTAAATAAATGAATAATTTTTTTTAAAAAAAATATTGATATTGACATAATTGAAAAAAAATGAAAAATAATAATGATAATAACTTACCAGCTTTGTAAGCTCTTAATAAGATGTCAGGATTTGTATATACATTTGATCCGATAACAAAGAAAGTGACTTTGATATTTTGTGTGTCTAAATAGTCCAGAACCGAAGTTGTGAAAGAACTAGAAAAAAAAATTCAGTGATTTCAAATTTAATATTTCGAAATAAATATATAATATATAATATTTTAACAAACTTACGTTGGACCATCATCTAAAGTAAGACCCCAATCTAACTTGTTTGGACATCGAATAATGTCAGTATCATTTCGAGTGCAAGTGCTGCAAGTCCAATAACAATATTGGTCGGTAGTCGGACAGGTAGCATTTACTTTGTTAACAGGAGCATTCCTAAGTTTAGTTGTATTTACAAGCTTTGTATAATTTGCATTTGCCGGCGGAGGAGCATTTAATGGAGGCCAAGTTCCAGGAAGCACGGCTATAATAGAATTCGGTACTAGGATTAAAAGAGCCGCGAACAAAAATGAGATAGAATTAATGAGTTTCATGATATATAATTTAATTTTCTTTATGATCTTGACAAAAGATGTTGACACGTTTTGTGAAGGAAGAAATTGAATCTTCGGGAATTGGAGACAATATTTATACTATTGTTATACTATTGAATTATATTATATTAACATGTATTAACACGTTCAGACGATTAGGCTGAAAAAAGTAAGGGGGGTATTTTTATAAGGAGGTAAACTTAATCCAGAATACTAAAAATACAAAAAAAATAATATATATATATAAATATATATATAAAATTTGTTTTACTGGCTGGTTATTACCTATCAAGGATTACTTGTACGCTATATCATTGAAACAGCAGCCAAAAAAATGAATTACATGATAGTGATACAAACGTCATCAAGTTTCCTCTGGATATTGTTGAAAATACAAATGTAACCTGTCACCGATTAAATTGTTAAAAAATTGGTAAATGTTAGTTACATATATTCCTGTAATATATTAACAGATATTAAACAAAGGTACTATAATAAGATCGAAATCGTGTATTTTTACATTGTAAATAAGACATAATAAACATAATAAGATTTGTGAAACCAATTATTTATATTTGTGTGAAAGCCTATAATAAGAAAACAAAACATTTAATTCTCTTTGATCTTTTGGCCGAATTCCAGGGGTAATATTTTCAAAGGCTAAAAAGTGAAACATGGAGAAGCAATTTTACATTTTTGCTCACATGCGGTGGTACATATGCTGAGTAGCATTGTCACATTTAATTCATTTTATTAAATTCCAACACACGGTGAGAATATTAACCGATTTTTTTTTTTCTCTTTATTCTTAGCATATATTTTCGTATACTATCGTATACTATCATATACTGTCGTATACTGTAGGTACGTAAGCAAATATCTGTCCTCCTTATTTTCAATATCTATATAGAATCTTCGTGCATACATACATATGTACGTACAAAGTGCATGAAAAAGTTGGAAACTTCGACACATTTATGTACTGCGTACTGTACATACTATAAATACTATTTTCCCATTCAAAGTTTACAATTGACTTTTTATAGTAAATGCACAAATTGCTGACTATAAAAAAATAAAAAAATTTAAATTTGTAATTACGTGCTTACGTACTAGGCAATTGAAAATTTACATGAATTAAGGTTGTTTACGTACGTACCTCTACCTAAGTATCATAATACTTAAGTGTCGTCCTACTTAGGTACCGTACGAGCCTATGTACTCATCCGCCTACTTAATTCCTTTTGCATTTAAATGATTGTCAAATTAAGCTCTTCTAAAAAAAGTTCAATATTATGCACGTAGGACATATTTGATGAATTTATTAATAACGATAACGTTATTAAACCTTTGTTACGAATTGGATGGTTTTACATGAGCTTAATTTACTTGTACGGATATAAATAGTCTTACGGTTGTGACAAACTATGATTGTGATAAGGTCTAGATAATGTATCTCGCGATACAGATTTTTTTTTAAATGATATCGATATATTATTTATTACATAAATATAATTTATCTATATCAGGAAAAGGTTACTGAAACTGTTTACTAGATATAATAGGATAGTTAGTGCTCGGGGGAAAGTATCTATGATAGTATATTAGTGTATTGCAATATTGATACGTACGTACGTAGATAATTGATTATTATTAATAGTTATTTAGTAATAGTCGTCAATTACTTCTAATTTTTATTTTACTAAATTATTTGTGAATCTGAATACAAAACCCTGGTGATCAAAATTTTATACGTAGGCTTAGACGAGTCGGTAATTTTGATATGGCTTAGTGATCGTATGTATCCCCCTTGAAAGTCTCTATCTAGGTACGTTCGTGCAATTCAGTTATACGTATAACTACAATTTATTATGCACGAGCACAATCACTACGTAATATGGCTTAGCCGGCTTAGTTATCTATTATTGTTATATATTAACGATATTGTTTTAAATTAAAACCAAACATTTTCTTTTCCATTGTGTTAGGACCATTCGGGAGATCATCTCTAACTCTGGATTAAATCCTAAAGCATCTCTTATCGTTATCTTATTTATCCGGGTGGAACTCGGTTATTAAACAATAGTTGGAAAAATTAACGAGGGGTAAAATGTTATTTATTATTACGTAGTAAATTATTATGCTAATTTTTTATCAGGGAACACTTAAAACACGTATACTTTCACCATTATTGACCTATCTATGCTCTTTTTATATGATCGGAAATCGGAAAGTTCTTAAAACATTCGCGCTTCTATTAACTGAACCATTGAGACTTTTATATCTTTATCTTCTAGAAGGCTTAGAGTTACTACTTTAGCCTCACACAGCCTATAGCGTTTAAATAATCCATAACATTACAATTATTACAGTTATTACAATTATTACAATACTAATAAACAAAATATATAATTTCAAATTTCTTATTTGGAATCCAAAAAAGGAAAATACAAACTTTTTATTTTAAATTATCACGGCTTACGCTTATAAGTACTTGCTCAATCTAATGTTATAAGCCAGTCGGTTAAGTCGATTAAAAATTACATAATTATAAGCAGTACTTAAACGTTAATATATGATTGATTTGATTGATTTGATTGATTTGATTTCGATCTATATTTGATTACGATAAATCTTAAAATGGGAAAATGGACATAAAAAATACATGTTAATCTTCAACTTAGCCAAATGTTTAGCCAGCTGGCTTAGCAACTAAAACCATGTGGAAAACAGTACGCATAAATAAAATAAAAAAAAATTGACGTAAACTTGACGTAAAAGTGTATCATTACTGTTAATTCTAATTAGCGTCAGAGGTATACGTATAACTTTAATCGTTCTATTTCAGTATTTTGCTCATACGTCTATGTACTGTACGAGTATTGTGAAATGCAAAACCGGGTTTGGATTAGAAAGTACGTACGTACGTACCTGGAAGTATGCGCAATTACACAAAGATATTTACACCAAAACCATCTAACAAGGCACGAAACCTTAACTTTATCCTATTTATTAATGCACGTCTTTTTATAGAGGTGCTGCAGGGTCTCAATGTTCTAACTTGGCGGGTATCACCAGGCACCTGCAGATAGGCAGTAGCACTTAACCTCATAGGCCTTATTGGCTAATAGAAACTTTATACAAAGATTCTAATGCACATAAAGAATTTATCACATGCGTTTGAGAGTAGTTGGATGCAAGTAAATGTGATATTTATTATTAACAAACACGAACTCATTAATAAATCAAAGCTTTTATAATTAACAAACCAAAAACACTTGAATTTTTTTTACTATTGAAGATATTTGTACCGTTTAAATTAAATAGTTGTTAACCAGTCTTATGGTTACGTATTCAGTCCTCGGTCTTATACCAGTCTTTATTCGGTCATTATGAATAATTAAAAAAAAATACGTATTAAAAAAGAAGGTTACATAATCGCTTATTTTCGTTACTGATGACATGATTAATTTCAAAGTTAGTCAATAAATGGTTAGAGATTTAAATAATTAAGGTTCGTTTTTGATTCTATCTTATTAGAAACTGGGACTGGATCAGACTGATCCATTATTTTATATTTTAATTGTAGTCTTAGATAAAAATGGTTTGTTATTTTTATTGTATAATTTTATATAATTGTATTAAAAATTAAAAACAATTATTTTAAATTCTTTTATATTTATAATAAATATTAAAAATTATTTTATTTTATTATTAGTAATTTGCAATAATTAAAATTAAATTTTAATAACAGGTTTAAATTTATACAATATAATTAAAATAACTATATGCAAAGATTACAATTCTGTAATATCTGTAATTATTACTTATAACTAGTAATCTTATATTCTTAGTTTTATTAAGATATTTTATTAATCAATTGCTATATTTAATACTAAATTTAAATATTATATAATCTCTCGATCAAAATTTCCAGAAAGCAAAACTAAGAGAAATATAATAACTAGATTAGAAAACAAGACTTGAGATACTAACAAAAAAGACAGAACAGCAAAAATTGCATATAGTTTAATAGGAAATATAGAAGATAAGTCATAAAGACAATAGAAAACAACACATATAAAATTCTTTTGATGAAAGATAAAAATTGTTTAAAAAAATTAGAAAATTGTCAGAATTCTGTATCTTAGATCTTTCAAGTTATATAAGAAGTTACAATAAGACAAACAAAGTAAATAAACAAATACATATATCAAACTAGTTCAATCTAGATACAACATGTGACATAGAAGCATATAGAAAATGATTGTATAACATGAACAGAAGTCTGTCAAAAGAATACAGAGAAAGTCTTAATGCAATCTTTACAAGAAGGATATATAAGGTGATGAATAGTATATATAATAAAATCTTCTTTAATGAAATAAGTAAAGTATATACAATACCTAGTAGAGAAGATAATATTGTTATAATACTTACAAGACAAAACTCAAATGAACTAGTATTTCTGTGAATAACAAGAAAAATACTAGAAAAAACAGAAAAAAAACAACCTGAAAAGAAGTTGGATTTTATAAAACAGTACCAAGATAGAAAAAATATAGAAAAAAAAGAAAAACAACAACAAATAATTGAAATGAAAAAAAGGCAAGAAGAACTGAAAATAAAAACAAAAAAGAAGAAAAAAGAGAATAAAGATGTCTACAAAAGTCTATAAACAAACATTAAAACTGCAGAAAATAAAGTAACTATAAAGATAAGACAAATAAATAATAGCCAAGTAGAAGCCAAATTATCCATCTATGAAGATAAAGATAAAAAACAAAAAAGAAAACAAGAACAAGAAAACATAAAAATAAATAAAAAAGAATCAAAACAGGGATCAATGACAAAAGAAAAAGAAAAAAAAAAAAAAAAAACAAGAAATCGAAAAAGAAATTGATATAATAGAAGTATCACTCAAAAAAAACATATAGGCACTGAGCAGAAAAGACTGTAATCAAAACAATAGCTTACTTGCAAACATATTAGCATATAATATACCTGAAAAGACCAAAGAAAAACAAACAAACTTTATCAGATAGTTACTAAAAAACAATGAGCATATCAAAAATATTAAAAAAGTCTTTAAAAAAGGAAATCTATAGATAGAGGTAGACTTCAACTACAAGTATGACAGAAGCAAAGCAATACAAAGAATCAATAAAAAAGAAAGTGGTTGATACAGAATGATTGTAGAAGAAGAGAAAATAGACAAGAAGGGAAAGAGAAAAACATATGTTAAAGAATATTAAAAGGAAAGAAACAATATATCAAAACTTGAGAAAAAGGAATATGAGTGGCAAGAAGGAAAAAAAGAACTGATAGAAGATCAAATAGATACTGAAAAAGAGAAAACATAGAAACACAAATATATAACAAACTGGGATCTGCTGACAAATATAAATAAGAAAGAGATTAAATATATGTACAGAAGATTCAAAAAAGCACATATAACAAGAATTAAGAGATTCAAATACAAGGCTCTCGCAATAGTTTAAATAGAAGAATCAGAAGAAGAAGACACACCATGGTTCATATCAGTTAACAGTAACAAACTGATAAAAATAACAAAAGATAAAGAAAATTATAAAGCAAGATAAAGGCAAAGTCAGTATATAGCAAAAATAACAGAGCTGCCAAGCAATACTTCAGAAATATTACTATTACACTGCCTAAGAAGCAAAGGTGCAAAATCAGTATACATCCTGTCAAACAGAAACAGAAATTATAGAAGAAAAGTGATAATTACATTTGTATCAGAAAAAGAAATAAAGGCAGCCTAATCAAAACCAATCAGATATAACAATTTTTAAGTATTCTGACTAAATAAAAGAAGAAAAGAAATAAAGAAAGAAGAAAGTGTTAGAAGAAGAAGAAAAAAAAGCTAAGAAAAAACTAACCAAAGTCAGAATAAAAAATATACAGAAACAAAAAGTGGTCCTCAAATACAAGATGCAGAGAGTAATTAGGAGACAGAAATACTATTGACAAAAAAAGCTAAAACAAAAATGAACAGGTTTCAAACAGAAGACACATTAAAATGAAAAGTGATCCTTAGTTACAAAACATAGAAGAATAGTTAGGAGTCAAAAACATGAATATAGAAAGAAATAGTAGAAACATAGTTAAAAATAAGATAAGACTAAACATACAAATATATATGAAAACAAGACAGATGGAGAAAGTCTTAGATCAAATCCTGGATTGACTAGAGGATATTTAGCTAGGTATAAAAGAAGGTCTGGCTAACTGCTCCTGAGAGCACTTTAGTTGAATTTATAAATATGGATAAAGAGGTCAAAGATTTTCTATATAGTAAAAGAAAAACTTTTGAAGAGAGAAACAAAAAAAAATCTCTTAATCCAAAAAAAGAAAAGAGAAGAAAAAGAAAAGAAAATGCAGAAAATGCAAAAACAAAATACAAGTAATTAAAAGAAAAATAAAAAAATAGAAAGAAATAAATAAAAATTGCATGTCATAACATTAATGGACTTAAGACTAGAGATTGAAAACTAGAAAACCTGCTAGGCTGGGCAGAGGAAAAAAGATAGCATTTTTGGGAATAACAGAAATGATTATAGAAAAAGAAGAAAAAATTCTGATATATAATCTTAATATAAGATTTAAAGATTATTGGGCTAGTGCAGTAGTGAACAAGAAGAAAGGATCAGATATTGGGATCCTAATAGATGAAACTTGAGAAAAACATGTTGAAGCAGTTAAAAGACAGTGAATATATGATAGAAGTAAAGCTATACTTCAAACAACTAGTACTAATAGTAATAGAGATGTATATCCTACTAAATGACAAAACAATCAATAAGAAAATATAGCAAAAAATTGTGGAAATAGTAACAAACAAGAGAAAATATACAGAAATAGTTATTTTGGAGACTTCAATCATATAGTGAACAATATATTAGATAGACTGCACCTGCAAACAACAGATTATAAGAAACTACTAATCTTCATTGACTTAAGAGGCAAGATTTTGCAAACTCTTTCGGAAATTTGTATTTAATGAAAAAAGCATACACATGGTCAAGCCAAGAAGCAACAATAAGAATTAACTATATCTGGTTGTCAGAAACAATTGTAGCTAGTCTTCAGAAAGTCAATATAGATGAAATAGAAGATATAATAAGCAGTGACCACAAGATAGTAACAATAGTCATGTAGTTAGAGTACATAATTGTAAACTAGAGCTGTGCAGAAACTAAATATAAAAACCAGATAAGAACAATATATCTGTATAAGGAAGCAAAGTAAAAAGATTAGAAAGAATATGCTAAAAAGCTCCAAGCACAATTAGAATAAAAAAAAGTGTTGAAACAATTGGAAGAAGATAGAAAAAACAGTTTGTATAATACAAATATGCTAGACCAGGTATGGAATGCAATAGAAGAAGCTATAATAGAAGCAGCAAATAAAAGAATTCTGAAAAAGAAGATATTTAATACAAAAGTAAACAAAAGATATCATTAAAAGAAACTACAGCAGCATAAGCATATAATTGAACTACAACAAATAATCAAAAAAGCAAAGATAAGAAAAAATCAAGAGACAAAGAAGGAAGAGAAGGAAGAGATAAACAAGAAACTTATAGATATTGGTAAAGAAATAGAAGTAGTTTTATCAAAGTTATACAAACAATGGTCAGAAGTTTGGATAGATAACATAAAAGACTGGCAAAGAATTTTGAAAGACAAGAAAAAAAAAGTAGAACAGGCCTAAAAAAAACAGATAGAAGAAAATATAAATAGAAGATGTAAGATAATAAAAACTGATCAGAAATGAATGATTGCTAGCCTTTTGAACAAGCCATACAAAAAAATAGTTCTAAACAGATTTATAACCTAAAGTGAAGATGAAACTATTCTAATGACAAAACCTAAAACTGTTCTAGAAGGTCCAGCAAAACACTTTGGAAACCAATTTAAAAAGAGAAGAACCAAACTAGAAAAGATGTCTAAGAAGTGGATAAAAGTATACAACTCAAAAGAGTAGATCAAGGAGTCTTAGTATAAAAAGTTAGAAGAAAAGATAAAAGAAGATGAATAGGAAAACATATTAAAAGAACTTAAAGCCAATACAGCATCAGGAATTTCAGACA